CGCCGTCATGCTGGTGCGTTTGCGCTCCTCCTCCAACCGCATCCTGAATGTTTTTTCAGATAGATGGGACTCTTCCCTTATTCAGAGGTGGATTTCCATTCACGTAAAATAAAAATAATAATAATAAACGAATAAATATAATGTTAACATAACATAATGTTGACATACAATATATTAATATCATTCAATACTAACACTAGTTTTTAAAACACATTGTTACTAACACTATATGGATGTAATAGTCCGAAATAAAATATTTGAATTGAATTGAATAGCCTGGTACTGAGGGTGCTTTCCCCTCCTCACCTGGTCTCAACCAGGTCTCATTAATGGCCATGATGTCAACTGAGTGTAGACTCATTGCAATCAAAAATTCATCATGCGTAGTTCCCAGTGACCCTGCGTTAAATAAACCAAACCTTAAGAATTTGTTCTGGATCATTTTTATTTATTATATTTTTCCAAATAAGTATACCATATTACCAACAAATTATCAATATATCTTAGTAATTGCCGAATGCAGGTGGTCATCATGTAAACCATAAAATGAGTTAAATTAAAATCTATACCCAAAAATATGTTCAATTTAATTTGTTCATTGGTGAAGTTAAGTAAGCGTACAACCCTCATCAAAAACACAACACTATAGTTAAGGAAGGAAATCACAACAGCACACTGTAAAAAAGTTATTCCATTTTAGTTTCTTAAGATATGTACAATGTATACACTTCACACTATTAGTTATAAGGAAATGCCTGTTATTTTTACCTACTAATACTTTTATGTAAATAGTTTTGTAAATATTTGTATGTAGGAGTTTTATAAAATTTATTCTGTAAACAGTTGTGTATAGATTTGGCTTAAACATGTTTGCAATCGAATGTTTCTTGTAAATAGTCACATGTGAATATGTATTTTGTTTTATAATAAAAGTATTTGTAATCTTATGTTCCTTATAAACAGTCACATGTACATGTGTACTCTGCTCCCCACCTTCAATGATATAGACAACATAAAAGACCATTGCTAACACTAATTTAATTATTGGAAACTGATCTTCGCACAATACACCCATGATACATTTGCCATTTTATTGATATGTAGCAGATTTTATTTATTTATTTATATAGGACAACTTACAAAACATACACTAATACATAATTTACAAACATGTTTTACAATTATTTTCTGAGTGTTGTCTTACTTACAAGTTGCCACGGCATGGTAAGGGACAGTTGCATCTAAGATTATACAATGCAATATCTATAATAATATACGAAACATACAGAACATCATCGAAATTAATTAGAAACAGTGATGCATTTAAAGTGGTCTAAGTCTAAATGACGCAATAACTTTGCTCTTAAATTTTGGAAGACTGTTTGAGAAGATGTCTACATCAATTTCACGATTTTTCGTCAGCTTGTTATACTGGCTTTGTAGTCTATTTATAGTAGCGTTCTGACCCAAGTTGGTTTTAGAAGATTTAATAGAAAAAGGAGCGTATTTATTGGCACGGAGAGACCTTGAGGGAGCATTTATATTTATTTTCTCAATAAGAATGGGACAGTCTAAGTCACCGTTAACTAATTTATAAAGCAAAATCTGATCCAATAACTGCCTACGATCGAACAAACTGTGGAGATTAAAATGTTTTAAACGACTTTCATACGTCGGCAGCAGTTTTACTTTATTGCACTGGTATGAAAGGTGCCAAAGAAAACGCTTTTGGACACTTTCGAGACGTTTGATATGTACCTCGTAGTGTGGTGACCAAACCTGAGCACAATATTCCAGACCAGATCGAACCAAGGCCGAAAAAAGTCTAATCTTAGTCTGGGGCCTTTTAAAATCTTTAGAGTTCCTTATAACAAAGCCCAACATTTTAAATGCTTTAGTTGTTATTTTGTCAATGTGAGTGTGGAATCTAATTTTGGCATCCAAATCAACTCCCAAGTCCCTGACACTTGTAACCTCCTCCAATGTCCTATTATTAATGGTCTATGTCTGCGAGTTCAAGTGAGTACTGCGTGAGAATCGTATGTATTTACATTTGTCTATGTTCAGTGCTAAGCCATTTCTTCCACACCAATCGACTAAGCAGTTCAAGTCTTTTTGTAGAAGGAAAGTGTCATGTTTGCTTTTTATTTGTTTTGCGAGTTTGAGATCGTCAGCGTAAAGGAAGCAATCACTGTTCTTGAAAAGTGGTACAATATCGTTTATAAAGATATTAAACAGAATCGGCCCCAGAACCGATCCTTGGGGAACACCTGAATGGGTTAAAAATGATTGAGAGGTGTATCCACCAACAACCACCCTGGAACTTCGATTGTTGAGATACGAGGAAAACCATTTTAGCAAGTTACCTGTTATACCAAAGGTGGAAAGTTTGTAAATAAGGATATTGTGGTCCACTGTATCGAACGCTTTGCTTACATCGGTATAAATAGTGTCAACTGGGATATTAGAATCAACAGAATCAGTCAAAAAGGTCACAAATGAAGTAAGGTTGGTTTTTGCGGATCGAGCTTTATGGAAGCCAAATTGTTGTGGCGATATCAATTGCTTGATGTGCCATGTAATTGTGGGTCTTATTAGTACTTCAAATAACTTACCGAAGACCGGTAATATAGAAATTGGCCTATAGTTTTTTATAGACGCAATATCCCCAGATTTGGATACAGGTACAACCCTAGATTCCTTCCACGCGGTAGGAAAGAAACCGGCTTTTAGTGAACTGTTATATATTATCGAGAGTGGTACGGAGAGCGCGTCACGGCATTCCGTTGCAAATATACATGGGATACCATCGGACCCAGCTCCTTTACTTCGATCTAAATGTTTTAGGCCAGTTAACACATCATTTTGTGAAAAGGACAACCCTGCCAGACAACTTGCAAGTGAAGCGTTCGGGAATGTAGCGTCATGATAGTGTACTGAAGTGGAAGAGGGGACCTTATAGACAGACGAGAAATAGGACGCAAAGAGATTGCAAATGTCAGAACCATCGGAGGCTCGTCTGTCATCCAGATGCATTAATGATGGATACGTACATTTATTTTGACGCTTATTTTTTAGGTGAGTCCAAAACAACTTCGGATTTTTGGACAATGAGTCCTCAATATTACTAACGTACTTCGTGTAACACGATTCGATTAATGAAGAACAACGTTTTTTTAGCAGTAAGAAAGACAGCTCGTCCAAAGGATTTTTATATTTACGATACCTTTTACGTATTTTATATTTCTCATTTAAGAGGTTTATAAGTTCTTTAGTATACCAACAGGGATACTTTTGATATGTGGTCTTACTTAAAGGTACGTGTTTCGCGATTGCCTCTCTGATTATCTTATAAAACATATCCACCATATCATCAACACTCGTCAAGACTGAGAATTCATCGCCCCAAGAAACAGAGTTAAGTTCGCTTATAATTTTGTCAAAATCTGCTTTGTGAAAATTAAACTTGTCACCAGGAATCTTGGGAGAAAGACCCGGCGTACTGCAATATGATAAGACAAATTCCAAAGGCGGGTGGTATGGGTCAATTTTGCTAAGCACATTTGTGCTTTCTTGCATATGCTCAATTTTTTGAGTCGAAAGTACCAGGTTAAGAATTTTTCCTTGGCTATTGAGAATTGTATTTTGTTGCCTTAAATTATTAAGAGCAATAAAGTCGAGTAATATGTTCCCGAGTGGGCCCGTTAAGGAAGCCGGAAGGGAAACGGTGTTATTATTGTTGGGCCATGTTACTGAACTTAGATTAAAATCACCCAGTATTAGTGTGTTATGGTGTAATTCTAAAATTCGATTAGTGTTATCAATAAAATGTTCAAAAATGTGTTTTTGTACTGGAGGGGGTATATAGACCGCACATATATACAACTTATCGGGAGAGCTCCGGCTATTACATACATCTAATTCCACCCAAAGGTCCTCGCAACCGCTTTCAAACTGAGACAGTCTACGGGACTCAAAACGCCTAGATATGGCAATCAAAACACCACCACCCGATTTATTTTTGTGATATTCACTGGTCTCTCGATCACGTCTGTACGTTACATAACGATCATTAAACAATTCCAGATTAAATATTGTGTGGTTTAGCAATGTTTCACACAATACAATAACATCATAATGACAACATAAAACGTTTCTATACAGATCTAATGTCTTAGTGCGCAACCCTCTAACATTCTGAAAATATATATTTAAAGACGAGAATTTTTACAAATGAATTAGTAATAACTAGAGATTAATTTACTAACTACAGCAACAAACGATATAATTACTGATTAGACAGTCTATCCAGGGTTGCTGCGTTGCGAACATAGATGTATTCAGATGTATCAGTTTTACGCATATATATACGACCGCTGCGTACCCAAACGTGCTTGTAGTTTAATTCCCTGGCTTTGAGACGGGCCGCCGCGTGAAGTGACTTGTTCTCGGGCGACAAATTTTCGGCGACGTATATCGCCGACTTCCTACCCTCACTGAGACCCAAATGACTTGAGTTAAGTTTATCATTAGGGTGTTGCTTGTTGTACTTTACAGTAGCCGCTAAAAGTGCATCACGCAGACGGGGACTACTCAGTGTGACTAGAATAGCACGGGGCCGTGGGCTTCTAGGATCTTTCTTAGCAATTCTACTGCAATAAGATATGTCTGTATCATTTATGGGGCATGCTACCACTTTGCTAAGCTGCTTTACCACTGTGACTATGTTTTCCGACTTATATTCAGGTACGCATTGAAGTTCCAGATTTGATGAACGCATTAGTTGGTCTATTTGGGTACAGCGCGCGGAGACAGCCGCGAGGTCATTTTTAAGAGATTCATTTTCCTTCTTAATACGATCCGTATCAGCTTTGTAAGCCTTTATTTCAGCGTTTAGTATCTCGAAATGACCATTCATAAAAGGAATAGACTCGTTAAAATTTCTAATATCGTCTTTCATTTCCTGCAACTGGTTATTAATATCGCTCTTGAACTCCGCAATGCAATCAGTAATACAGGCCCGTAGTTCTTCCTTTATAATAGTGCGAAGGTCGGAACGCGATAGACAAGACGGCGAGCAGCAAGTATTCGCATCCTTAGTGGCGCGAAGCTCAGTAGTCCCGCGCTTAGTCGCGTTAACATTAGCACGCGAGCTAGGCGACAACATCGGCCGGACTGGCGTGTTTGAGTTATCACTCTTAGGAGCCGGACATGACCATTTCGATTTGGTATCAGTAGTAAGGTTTTTAAACTCTTTATTGGATATGCTAACACAAAGAGTGTGGTAATTCAATAAACACAACCGACATTTCAGATATTGATGGTCTTCAATATGCGAATGGCAGGCCGAACATTGCATTTTCGTTATGTTTATCGCCGTAGCAAGCTTTACAAAACAAATGTAGGTGCTTCAAGTTTTATTTACTTCAACTTGCGGTGACTCACTTGTTTAAAAACTGTGCAGGACGAAAACGATGTACACAATAAGCCAGTGAACTGAGGTCGCGAGAAGAACGGCGCAAGCGCCGTGCAGATATTGTCGCTTACGCGTCTCCGTCGAACACTTACAAAGCACACTTTGTGTGGATGATTTATTTCAAGAAAGTTATTAATTATGGTTTTTTTCCTTGATAAACACTGTTAAACACTGCACCAACTATTTATTTTTGAAATAAAACCCGTAAGGTTACTTAATACTGCAGAAACTCACTCAATTACTTTATGTAAACACAAAAATATTAAAATTTACTTGAAGAGCAAAATAATTAGATGTTGTCCGCACGAATGTAATGACTGAATTAGAGTTAGTTATAATAATAATAATAGGTTTAGGTATTTTTTACGGGAGGAGGCAAACGAGCAGACTGGTCACCCGATGGAAGTCTACAAGATCAATTAAACACTCGTCCGTATCGTAGTGTCGCAATAAGTTCTGCTATCGATCAACAGATGGCGTTGTTGTCAGTATCAGTTTAAGGCTTTATTTTAGGCTGTACTATGCAATTTTTCCATTCGTCACGAAATAAACCTATCACCACACACGCGTCGAGGGAGATTGAAATAGTTCTGGGAGCGACACAGTTGCTTTTTCATTAATTGAGCACTTTTATTTTGTAGATTAGGGTAGATATTAATCACTGTTCTGATTGGTATTTTATATTTAATTTTATTTAAGAGTACACAACACTTTAAGACTTGCAAACACTGCACAGTAATGCTTAGGACACAATTAATATTGTGAGCAAATAAATTATTTAAATAAGAGGAGTTTTTTTTTTTTAAATTGAAACACAAACAGAAAACGCTACGAATCACTACTACCGACGTCGAATCAACAACCTTTAATGTTGTTGTTTAATTAATTTGTTGTCAAATTAATTTTGTTGATTTTACTTATTTTGAAAGGACTTCAGTAGTCCTTTGGTGGGCGGCTTATGGTGATTCTGTTTTGCGAATTTGAACATAAAAACGTAGTCTCAATTAACTTTACGATTAAGCAGTAGTTGCCAATATACAGAAGGAAAGACGTGTTTCTCTAACCGATCCGCCGGCACAAGCCAAACTGAACCTTACGACCTCACCAGACGCCAAAAAAAAAAAAAAAAAAAAAAGGAAAAAACAAATGAATGACCGTTTTCAAAACTCAAATGTACCAGCTAAATGATTTTTTTAAATTTGAATTTGGAATTCTTAACCAAAGAGGAGATATTTCAGATCAAAGTGGTCAGTACGACAAAACGCTAATTTCATTTAATAGCACTAAATATTAGGTCCTTACGACCTAATATTTAGTGCTAGCTGAACATCATCAAGCTCTTCGCGCCATATTTTATTTGGATCGTTCTCTATGATGGTGAAAAGACTTTTTAAGGTACGCATAGTACGTTCTACTTGCCCATTAGCCCTTGATGAACCTGTCGCTTTCAAGTGTAGTTCAATGTTATGGTCGGAACAGAATTCTTAAAGTTAGAGCTAATTTAACATCTACCTTGATCAGCTATCATTTTTTGGGCGCTCCAAACAATTACACTGCTCTTTTTAGGACTCTTACTGCACATGTAGCATCGAGCGACTGTGTATATTCTAAGAGGACGTATTTTGTAAAACTATCAATTAATACTGACATATACTCTTTTCGGTCACTTTACTTTACTTAATACAATAAGGTTTCCACTTAAATAATCAACATGTCCAACGTAAATACCCTTCTTATAAATAACCTCAAAGTTAAAATCCTGCATGAAAGTCCACCACCTAGCAACTCTATGAGAGAGATATTTTTTATACATTGTCGATTTAATAGCATTGCAATCAGTAATCATTTTGAATTCGTATGCCTAAAAGATAAACTCTGAAGTTTTTAAGAGAATTATAGACCGCAAGGGTTTCTAATTCGTAAGAAGAATATTTGGATTCAGGCTCAGTAGTGCGGCGACTATAATATGCGACCACCTTATTGTTTGTACCATGTTTCTGAATAAGCATCCCGCCATAGCCAGTTGCCAGTTCCGATATCAGTCTGTCTATGATATATTTACGTGCCGCATCTTGTTCATTACCCCATTCCCAACTCTGTCCGTTTTTGGTAAGCTTAGTTATACAAGCAGTTTTAGAAGCAAATTCGGGAATGAATTTTCTAAAATAACTGGCAAGGCCCATAAATTGCCCAACCTATTTGACAGTTTTGGGAACGGGAGCATTGACCAAGGCTCTAACTTTTGTTTCACTTGGTCGCACATCCTCGGCTGAAATTATCCATCCTAAATATTCTATAGACGTAACGAAAAACTGACAATTCTTTAAGTTTATCGTAAATCCAGCCTTAACAAGTGCTGCCAAGCTTAAGTCGAGATATTCAAGACCATCGCTTTGTTCCATACTTTTACATAGGTTGAGTATATCATCCATGTAAACTCTCAGAAACTTAAGATCCTTAACCGCTTTTGTAATAGCACGTTGAAACACAGAAGGGCCATTACATATACCAAAAGGCATTTTAACATACTCATAATGTCCCTCAGGTGTCACAAAAGCTGTAAATGTAATGCTATTTTGAGAAACCGGAATTATTTGTTGTAGTTTATTAGTTTAGTTGGTCACTTTCGTCTTGAATTACGGAAAGAGGATATCTTTCCTTTTCAATTATAGTAATTAGAGCTCTATAGTCCACACATATTCGGTCACCACCGTTACGCTTTTTTACTAACAATATGGGACTTGCATTAGAAGAATCACTTTCACGGATTATACCGGCTTGCAAAAGGTCATTCACAATAACCTTTACCTTTTCATGTTCTAGAGGAGCCAAACGGTAAGGACGATAATTAATATTTTTATCAACCTTAAGTTTAATCTGTAATGTACCAGTATTAACATTACCAATATAATCATCAAAAGGCAATACTTTTGGATACTTATCAAAAATATTTTTTATTTTTCTTCTCAAATCCGTATCTAAATTTTGAGTTCGTTCTAAAAGTAAATTTTCTTTATTATGATCAGCGTAATTCACTACATTTTTTCGTATAATTTTTGTGCCAAATACATATGTCAGTCACAATGGCAATATCAGAATAGCTGACAGCATCATGTCCAATTAAACAATCATAGGTAAAGTTATCAGCAGTGACCACATGCAATTCTAATTCAATACATACATCATCAAAACGAACTGGTACCGTAATTATTAAAGCGACCAGAGCCGATACCATTCAATTTAATCGACCAAGGCGCAATGTGACAGCCCAACCGAAATGCGATGGACTCTTTTATTATAGAACAAGTAGCACCGGTATCGATCAATGCATTTACAGGAATATCATTAATGTAGACTTTTGTTAGATGGAGGCCTGACCGAGTAGTGCAATTATTTATTATTACTTTGCTTTTCACAATCATGTCGCTGTTTGAACAACACTTGTCTATTGTATGACCTTTCTTCTTACAAAACCCACAATAATTAGTTTTATTATTAGTAGAAGTCGCTAGGTCTTTTAATCTAGGCTTAGTGTCACTATCAAAATAGTTTTTATTAGAGCTGAAATTTTTTGGACACTGAAACTGAATATGGCCCTTTTGACAAGAATAACAATGCTTAGTTGTAAAGGAATCTGAAGAGTGGGCAAAACGAGGTTTCATGGCAACACTTATACCTGGCTCATCATTGGTTCCATTTTTGTCAAAAAATCGCTTTCGAGGGTTTTCAACATAGCTAGAGAATAAAGTTATTAACTCGTTAGTTGTAGACACAGAATTATTAAAGGAAGCCATACGAACATTAACATCGCGAACCCCCCACAAACAAGCTCGACCAACTGATCTTCGGTAAAAGCTACCCTAGTCTTTTTAAAGAGCAGAATTTTATCTCTGGCATATTCGGCATAAGTCTCTGCAGACTCAGAATTATACAAAACGGCTTTTGTCAATTTTTCTGTTAAATTTTTCATACTTGGGAACAGATCAATTAAATCTCAGCGAAAGGTTTCCGAGTCACGATGCTCTGGTTCCCATGTTTCAAACCAAGTAAAAGCAGAGCTCCGAAGGGCCTTACCGGCTTTTGCCACCATTTGCAGACTGCTCCACTCAAATTCTCCACCAAGATCTTCAATATTCTTACACCAGCTTTCTGCACCGTAGTGCATTTTCTCCGGGTGGAAGACACCTGTCTTCCACCCGGAGAAAATGATGACGCCATGATGATGTTGTACTACCCAGTACAACATCATCATGGCGTCGATTTGCTGAAAGCGTCTTCTGTATAGATTCCAACAAATTTTTCACAAGCTCCCCGTCCATAGTTCTCACACACACTCTCTCTCTCTCTCTCTCTGTAATAAAAAAAAAGGAAATGAAAAAAAAAACCAAATTGTTATACATTTGCGAGTTTAAGCAAGTAGTCGATCCCACTTCTGATGTCGGAAGAGGACAATACATAAAAATAAAACTTCAAAGCTTATAGTACGGCCGCTGAGTTATTACCGATTTGACACATGACGAATTGACAATACTAGTGAAGTGACTGAACCAGTAACCCTAATATCATTTGGGAACAGTTTGTTTTTAAATATTCCAGTATAGTGTGTAATTAAATAAAATCAAAACAAATAATAGTTAAAGACACAGGTTCTTTATTAGGTGGAGTATCCTTGATGGGCGTAGATAATTGGTCGAGAACATATCAAAATAAAACAAATTTGTAAACACTGTCACACATTTTAATGAATAGGGTAGGTACAAGATGTTTTAATAAATGACTACCTATCATTTATTAAAACAATTATGCAGACTCTGAACCAGATTCGCCAGAGCTGTCATCGCTATCACTCACTTGTATGACAATTTCATTGTCTATAATAGTGTCCACTCTTATATCGCGTTCATAATCTTCTGTTATTAGTTTTCGAGTCTTTTCGACGACCTTGACCCAATCTTCTTTCGTTATTTTGCTGCAAGCATCATTTAATAGACCCATCATTTTATTAGTACTGAATGGCGGAGTCGTATTATTACGAGCTGCGTAACCTGTAATGTAAACATTAAATAACGTTAATTTATTACATTAAATAAACGAAATGTTACACAATTACCTACATGTAAGGGACATGAGATATTTATTTCTTAGTTATGTATCTTTTTACTTATATGCTGAATATTGGATGTTATAATAGTACAAATTATTCATATTCATAACTTATGCGATAAAAAACAATACCTTTGATTTGTGCCCATATTAGCTCAATGGCATTGTACTGGCAGTGATAAGGCGGAATTCGAAGTACCCGATGTCCATGTGCCAGAGCTATCTCATCTACTTCATAACGGACTCTTGATGTTTTATTTTCGCGTACCAACTTTACTAAGTCAGACTTTAGCATTTCGGCAGTAGTTTCAATTCCATTTTGGTGTAGCCATGCTACGAGATCAGCTTTCTTGTCGGCCTGAGTAGGCGCTTTATTCACTTGTTTCGAGTGATATGAAGCGTTGTCCATTATTATGATAGAAGGCTCTGGCAGGCTGGGTAATAATTGATTTTCGAACCAATTCGTAAAAGTAACTGTATCCATCTCCTCGTGGTAATCGGAAGTACTTTTTGACGGGAAAGCCAGCAGTCCATTTTCAAAGAAACCACTTCCAGCAGAACCGGCGTGACAAATTATCAGTCGCGATCCTTTTCCAATTGGAACCTTTGAGGTTGATGCTTTTGTTTCGTCAGTCCAAGAGCGTGACACAGTGTGGTTCGCATTTAACCATGTTTCGTCAACAAAAACGACGTTGTCCCAAGACTCGATTTTTCTGGCTTCTCTTAAAAAGTCACTCCTTTTAATTATTAAATCAAATCTTTCCATTAATATTTTCCTTTTATTCGTTTTTTTATATTCAAACCCAATTTCGTACAATAGTTTTGACAACGCCGTTTTACCGCCTTTAAACAAGCCAGCTTCTTTTAAAGAGACCAAAAGCAAACGTCTAGTTGGAAACTCGTTCCTAGTATAATAACCATATATGTGGTTTCTTATTGCATCTGCATCAAAAACATCAACACCTGTCACGGGCTTTTGTCTTCGTTTTTTCTTAGGAGTGTGTAAAACATTATCTTCACTTCCAGAAGCACCAAATTTTTCTTTATTTATATTATATAGTGTTTTTGCACCAATTCCAAGAGCTTGTGAAACCCGATCTTTCACTTGAGTGACAGGAATCAAAGGGCCGCCATTTTGTGACTCACGCTCAAAGTAATCCTGTAGCTTTAGTACAAGCTCACGACATTGACTATTCAATATTTTTTCTCGTTTCGGCATTTTCAACAAAATTACCAAACACAAACAAAATTAGTCCAATAAAGCGCAACGATAAACAGGAGAAAGCCGAGTCAAAAAACAACGGTTACACAAGAGAACGTAGTCTGTGCGCACGAGAGTACGGAAGACGACTAAACAGATTAAAATAGCGGTGGTAAGGGTGTTGCCAGAATAGTATCGCCAATTACTTAAAAAAATACACCTATAACATTGCTTAATTGAGGGAGAAAATTATATTTATTAAATGTTGTTTTATATATTATAAATGTTAAAAATTATACATGGTGATTTTAATTGTATTTATTTTTAAATCATAGAAAACAGTATTTCTGTCTTTGGATCACACATAAATCTTAAAAATCATAAGATACTGGCAACACAGTGCAATTAGGAGACGCAAACAAATGGTAGAATTATATTTAGTCTAGTTGCTCGAAGGAATAAGTAAAATAAAAATATCCAAATAAAATAAATATCATATCTATTCCAATGAATTCGGACCGAATACTATCAAGCACATCACTATGAAAACTAGACGCACGATGTAACTTTGTACAAGCGCGCCAAAGAACAAAAAATAAATGTTTTCATATTATTTACAAACTATTTTAAGTTTTGAAACAGAGTTTATTGGAAAATTACTTAATTCTGACATTTTGACACAAAGTTTTATATTAAAGAGGTATTCTAAATCATTCGGCAAATGTGTCGCTCGTGCAAGGTTATATCGATTAATTTAAGAATAATCTGTCAAATCGGTAATAACTCAGCGGCCGTACTTTAAACAATCATTTATTTAAGTATTTCAAGTTTATTTATAAAACACAAAACATTAGTAATTAGTATAGACAAACTAAAATATCTTAATTTCATTTTGTACATAATACGGGTAATTATGACAAAAATACTTATCTGTAATATGTAGGTAATAGGTACTCAGAGTCAGATAGAACCGACAGGGGGCAGAGTAGTGTTCTCCTTAAGTCTCGGAAACAAAGTGATCCTCTAACTGCGTCGCTCGCTATTAAATACACAGTGACAACAACCCCACCCCGCCCCACCTCTGACCACCCTCTACGACGTGTTGTATCGATTTGTTTGTTTCGATTCATACAATGAAAATATGCTTATTCACTATCTGTTATTTCATACATGATGAGATGTCTCTGAATATGTGCTTTCTATCCGTCATGATAAAATCGATCCAATTTCTGGTCATAGCGTCGGGGCTTTGCCATGTCCACTTCCTTCGGGGCTGTTTCTTGAAGATAGAGTTCTTACAAGATAGATACAAATATAAACATCCTTAACGGCATAATAAATCCAACCACGTCAAAATAAATAAATAAATAAATATTAAAACACCCTCTGTGAATACGGCCTACAGTGTGTTATACCCAGCTCGGAACCAACGCGTGAAGCGGTAGTGGACGGGCGAAGTGAAGCGGCATGTTTGGATCATATATGGGTGCGAGCGAAACGGGGCGAGCGAGAAGCGACTTCGTTTGTTCTTGAAACGCATGTCTCGGACCATCATGCAATTGGGATATCGTTGAATTTGCGCGAAAGTGATAACTGCGAAAGTAATAACTGTAGACTGGTGTCGACAAATAGGAATAATATGCGAAAAGTGTTAAGTGATAAAATATTAAAACAAAAGTTCGAGGAATATGACTGGAGTCAATTATATGTCTTATCATGCCCATTACTTTTATTTCAAACGTTGTGTACAGTGTTTAACGATTTTTATAAGGCAAGTACAGTAACAGTGAGGGGAAGGAATAAAAGAAAAAGAGAGCCATGGATAGATAACAATCTGTATTCAATGTTAGTGCGTAGGAACTATTTATTTAGAGTATGGAAAAATTACCCTAAAAATATGAATAAACGTTTAGAGTATACAAAATTGCGAAATAGAGTTAACAGGTCGATTAACGAGGCAAAAAATAAATATCGGCAGTCCGAAATAATGAAATGTAATGGAGATCTCAGAAAAATATGGGTCAACATAAACTCGTGGCTTGGACGGCACAAAAATAGTCTAGACAGTGTTATTGCGAAGCATTTAGGTAAAGTGGAGAAGATGAGTAACATATGTAACAATTTTACACAAACATTTACTAAAGAAATACAAAATATTAAACATATTTGTAATTCAAAATTTTTAGATAGGGAAAAATACGTGTATCCTTGTAATGTAAGTTTTAGATTTAAAAAGGTTTATCCGTTAGAAGTAGAAAAAATAATCAGTATGTTAGCTAATGGAAAATCCCCCGGCTTGGATTGTATACGAGTAGTAGATATTAAATATTTACTTAAACAAATAAGTCCACTATTAGCTACTTTTATAAGTTCGTGCTTAAAGAAAAGTGTATATCCCGACCAACTGAAAAATGCTATAATCCGCCCCATTTACAAGTTCGGTAGCCATCTGGAATATGTTAATTACAGACCAATTGCAATATTATCAGTAATAGACAAAATAGTTGAAAAAATAGTTGTAGGATAAATAAGTGAATTTCTAGAATCACATAGTATACTGAGTATAGAGTATACTATACTCTCCCGCGCACAATATGGTTTCAGAAAAGGAAGGAACACTGTTTCTGCCCTAGTGAGCTTCGTGGACTATGTGAATGAATCTTTAGACTCTGGGAAACAGTTGATAGCGCTTTTCATTGATTACAAAAAAGCTTTCGATACACTGGATCATAGCATACTATTACAAGCAATGGATGAATGTGGGATACGCGGCCCCACCAATAACTGGTTTAGAAACTACTTATCAAACAAAAAAGTTCGCACTGTTATCGGTGGAGTGGCCGGAGAGGACGCCACAGTGAATTAGGGTGTGCCGACCGGGTCAGTGTTTGGGCCAGTGGGGTATGTTATTCACGACAATAGTGTATCGAACGTGGTAAGCAAATGTCAGGTTTTCATGTATGCAGACGATATGTGTGTGG